GACTGTTAGTGTGAGCCGTGTAGGGAGATGCAGACTGCCTGGCTGATGTCCGTGAGACAACAAGTATCAGTGGTTGAGGATTCTTGGTGACTTGGCTGAAAATCGGTCACAATGGTGCAGATGTTCTGACTTTCTGATGTCTTCTAAAGCCTGAATATTCACAATAACCGTTATCTTCAGATTTTTTATTCTCCCACACTACTTTATCTGCTTCAGTATCACTCTTTTTTTATCCACCTGTTTTTTATACTACTATAAAGTGTGGCAACTTGAACCGATGCACTTGTGTATGAAGTTCTACGTTGATTTTGTGTATCTGTCTCATTATTATAGGGTTGTAGTCAGTATATCCACTTGATGTATAGTTAGTTTCTGATGTATTTAACGATATACGTGAAAGTCGTTTGGAACTAATTCTTTTTGTCTTCGCATTGAATTTATTACTCGTTGTATATGCGATATTACTGCTATATATTCTACTACTGATAAGAACCTATTTCAGTAGTTTACTGTTTGGGGTCCTATGTGAAAGTCGTAAGAGCAAATGATCAACTTTAGAATGTGTTGAAGAAAGAATTTAGGTTAAATCTAGGTTAGCCGAATATCAGGCACAACCATGCGCATACTGAGGGAGTGGCTATCATGATGTCCCCAATAGCCTCAAAGGCTCTCATGTAGCGGGAACCAATCTCCTCCTGCAGGATCATGACAGCAAGATGGATTCAACTTCAAAAGAAGGGAAGTCACAATCGTACAGTGCTACGCTATGCACCTACAAACAATGCAGATGAAGAGAAGAAGGAGGAATTCTACAAACAACTGCGATCAGCACCGGACAAGACCTAAGTTGTCGACATCGAAATTCTAATGGGTGACATAAATGCCAAACTGGGAGCGGACAACACAGGAAGAGAACTAACCATCGGTCGAGAAACGCTAGATCAAATGAAGGAGAACAGAGAACTGTTTGCAGAATTCTGCTCATTCAACAATTTGGTGATTAGAGGCAGTGTATACAAACACAAGGATATGCACAAAGCGACATGGATTTGATTTCACCAGATGGACACACTAAAAATCAGATCGACTTTATCTCAATCTCAAGAAAGTGGAGACGCAGCCTGTTTGACACAAGGTCAAGAAGAGGAGCAGATGTAGGTCCACACCACTATCTGATGTAAGGAACCTTCAAAATCAAGTTGAAAACCTTTAGAGAAGTTGGTGATAGGCCACAGTTCAAGTTCAACACCCAGAAACTGAATGACAAAAGAACAAAGGATATCTTCACGGCAGCCATCAAGATAAAATGGGAGATATCGAGGAACATCCCTGAAGAACCTGTGTGGATGAACACTGGAACTCTTTGAAAGAGATGTGGAAAGAAACCTGCATAGCCGTATTAGGAAGGAACAAGTAAGAATATAAGGAATGGATCTAGACGGACACATGGAAGCTGATAGAGAAGGGAGAGGAGGATGGTGAAGCAGAGGATAAAGCAGTGCAGTGCAAGGATGCACAACGAGAAGAGGATCTGAGTACAATGTATAAAACACTGGATAAAGAAGTGAAGAAGAGTGGGTGGAAAGACAAAAGACACTTCTACGAAACACTGGCAAGTGAAGCAGAACTGGCTGCTGGTAGGAGAGATCTGACAATATTATATCAAATAACCAGGTTGCTATCTGGGAAGAGATCAACACAGATGAAGCCAATAAAAGATGACGAAGTGAATTTAATTACCGAAGAGGAGAAACAAAGGAAACAATGGGCTGACCACTTGGAAAAACTCTTGAATCGACCACCACCTGCACTTCGTCCAGAAATGCCACTTGCGACCGCAGAACTACAAGTGTACACAAGACCTACAACGAAAGTCGAAGTTCTGAACGGCTGCCTTGTCAAACTTCCAAAGGAGGAGGACCTAAGTCTTTGCAAGAACTGGGGCAGAATCATGCTGCTGTCAACTGGAAGCAAAATATTAAGCCGCATCATCCTGGAGAGACTAAAGGATGCCCTAGATTCAAAACTACGACCAGAGCAGGCTAGATTCAGGAAGTACAAATCATGTGCAGACCAAATTGAAGCGCTATGCTTCGCATCATCATTGAACAGAGTATAGAATGGCAGTCAACTGTCTACCTCAACTTTATCGACTTTGAAAAGGCCTTCGACAGCGTTGCCCGAGAAGTAATTTGGCAGGTAGTTGCTTCAGCACTACGGTTTTAACACCACACACCTTTATCAACCTCATTCAACAGCAGCTATATGCTATACGATGCTACATGCCGAGTGATTCACAATGGACAGCTCAGTGATGAGTGAAGACAGGAGTAAGACAAGGCTGGCGCCTACTATCACCTATGATCTTTGTGATTGTGGTTGACTGGACCGGACTGGAGTGGACTGGATCATGCAACCGACAACTGTGAGGAGCGAGAAGAGGGGGGGATACCTTGGCTGGACTGGGAAAAATATACTAGAAGATTTGGATTTCGCCGATGACTTGTGTTTAGTGTCACACAAACTCGAAGAAGTACAGGCAAAAACTAACAAGTTAACAGAAGAAGCAGGCCAGCGAAAACGGGACTTACTTCAGGTGAACGTAGAGAAGACAGGTGATGATGATACCCAACAACAGCAACAACCAGCTCCAATCACCATGAACGAGAGGAACTTAAAGGGAGTAACCTCCTTCACCTATCTAGGCAGCATCGTTTCAACTACGGGTGGTGGCACAGACGAAGACGTCAAAGACAGAATCAGAAAAGCAAGACAGGCCTTCATTAACCTGAAACATGTATGGAGATCTTCTGCACTCCACTCAGCATGTGGAACAAGATGCGGATTTTCAACACTAATGTCAGTGAAGTCAGTGCTTCTACCTGATGGTTGAGAGACTTGGAGTGTGACGAAAATCATTTCCAACAAACTACAGAGATTCATCAACAACTGCTGCCTACACTCGTTATTGAAGATGAGATGGCCAGAAAGAATAAGGAACAAGGAACTCTGGCTGGCTGGCTGGCTGGCTGGCTGGCTGGCTGGCAACGAAGCAATCAAGAAGCTTTCACTCAACAAATATGCAGAAGGAAGTGGAGATGGATTGGGCATACACTGAGGAGGCCAACTGGGGACATCACGTGCCAGGCCAGTCACTGGAGTGGGACCCAGATGGGAAACAGGAGTTGGGCATCCGAGGTGAGGGTGAGGGTGGTATGGAGGAGATGGTGTGAAGAAGAAATGAGAGGTTGTGGGCAGTGTTGGAGCCAGGTTCAAAAGATTTGAAAAAAACAGAGTGGAATGGAGACATACTACTGAAGCCCTATGTTCCATTAGGAACCCAAAGGATAAATAAAAAAAATGAAATAATAATTGGCTTAATTAACCTTAGTAAGTTTTAGAGTTAGTATTCATTACGCGCTAACATCAGTTGGGGAATTATTGAAAACTTGGGAGCACTGAACAGCTGTTTTGTCCTAGTATGTGACTCATAGCCTAACCTGCAAGTAGTGGAGAATATTTATACCTCACTTGGGTGGTCTTGGTGGTATTGTTTTCTCTGAGCTGAGTTGCTTAATCGTGGAGCTTTCATTGTCTTGCTAGACAGCGACATCGTCAACACTCACTTCACTATGAAGTGACCTGTCAGTATCTCCCCGTGAGTGGTTGAGTAGCTTACGCTGACCAACTGATTTGTGATTGGTTGTTTCGTTTGATTGTTGTGTCATTAATTGTATAGATTACCCTGTTGGTTGTTCGTTTGCTTGACCTCTAACTTATCCGTTTTTTATCTTCTTTTTCATTAGTTGGCAGATTGGGTCTATGTCCAGCCACCTATTGATTACTGACCATGCATAAAGAATATATCGGAAATGACGACAAGACTACTGAGACCACTTGGAATTGGTATGACTCATAAACCAACAAATTCCCTGTAAACACTATTAAGTAGACCAAAGTATGCAACAACCAAACAAGATAAGCCGAATATCATTTACAAAATCAACTGCAATAACTGTAGTCAACACTATATTGAAAAAAGTGGTCGCCCTCTTTGCCTTCGTCTACATGAACACCAATTGGCTATTCAACGTCATATATGACATTTCATCACTCATTTCAATGCATGTGGATAATTATGGACATGAATTCAATTTCGTCAATATGGAGATTTTGACGGAGAGAGGAAACACAAAGAATATGAGAGACCGATGGGGGCAAAGCCTGATGGTCTTGAGGACAGTTACTCAATGATGACATTGGGTGGCGGTTGTGCTATATCGTGAGCTAACAGAAGTTAGAAATATGGACCATTGGACTCTGACCTAAATGACTAGCTCAGTGGTAACGTACTGGCCACCGAACCTGAAGGTCGCGGGTTCGATCCCTGCAGGGGTCGTGGGTGCGCACTGCTGAGTCCCAAACTAGTGGGACGAAACAGCTGTCCAATGCTAGTAGGCCTCCTTTGTTCCTCCAACTGATGTCAGTCTGCGATGAATAACAACTTAAAATATTTCCGAATACCCACAACTCCCTCAGAATTTATAGAAGTTTAGCATTCAGGTCAGTTAGTCGACAATCAACAGGTGTGTACAGACATAGATCCAATCTGCCAACCAATGAGAAAAAGGATAAATAACATAAAGATCAGGCAGGGAAACAACCAATAGGAGAAGAATCTATACAATTAGTTGATGACACAATAATCGAAGGAAACAACCAATCACAAATCAGTTGATCGGGGAAAACTACTGAAGGCTGACGGAGAGATATTGACAGCTCACTTCATATTGAAGTTCATGACGATTTTATCGTCTAGACGTTAGACGATGAAAGCTTTACGATTCAACAACCCAGCTCAGAGAACACAATACAACCAAGACTAACCTGAAAGTATTTACCCTTCTATGTTACACGAATAGTTATTTTGCTCACAATGGTTCATAAGACAGCTGGCTATGTTTACTCATTGCATATTTGTTTTTGTTTTTTGATTTTAGAGTATGGGTATGTGCTTTATTGGGAAAAGACGGTTTTCTCATTTTATCGATAATGTAAGTTATGCTTCTCTTTTATCCAATTTAAAGATTTCTGAGGATTTGTTAATTGGTTATAAGTTGATATTCATCATAGACTGACTGATATTATTAAGAGAACTGTTATAAACCTGGAAGCATTGGATATCTGTTTCGTTCTAGTACAGCACTCGTCAGCAGTACACAGGTTAAGGTTGCTAGTCATAAGCCCAACTTTCCCTCTTTATCCGGGCTTAGAACCGGCTAGTGAACTAAGCGAGGTTACGCTATAACGTTTATGTACAATAATTTGATTAAGGAATCCTTGACAAGGAATTCACCAATCATATTAACACAATCATTATCATTTTAGTTGAATAAAAGGTGCTAATCAGGGAAATGAACACTACTTTCACCACAGTATATTTAGACAATATAAACCAACCAAACATAAAGAAGCTACTTCAATGTACTTCATCTAAACATGCAGTATCTGTGGGCAGAAAGAGTAAAAGGCACAACCAATCAATTATGAATATCCTTCATTTTGATTCACCCGCCTATACTTCAAAGCCTTGCTATATACAAATAATTGTACATTGGCTATTTAAATTTGTCTTCTCTCTAAGTTAGCTGGTGTAAGGTTATAATGGTCGTAGGATCAACTTGAACATAGCAACATTGAGGGATAAAAATAGTTAGGACCTGCATTTCAGCATTCCTCTCAACCCGTTAATCATAAGACTCAACAAACCGTCCTCAAGACAGAGATATAACAAAACGAAAGAAAGCTAAACAATGACATAGTTAGTTGCACACCAGTCTCTATGACAACCAAAGACAGTCCTAAACAATCACCTTCAATATACACCTATATACTCACTCATTAAACGGCCAATCATCATCGTCCATCAATATAGGACCAGGCATTACTGCCTAACGGTTCGAGTTGCCACTACTGACATCAGTACATTAAGTGAAAAGGCACTGAAATGGTAGATGAAAAGAAGAAAATTCAGTCCAAAGAAATATAAAGTACTAAAACATAGGAAGGAAGAGTGACAAAATGGTGAGATTCGGTATAGTCTTAAGATGAGGTTAACGCGTGCATACATCTGCACCACTGACATAGATTCTGAACCATATTGTATAGAGTCAGTCTCCAACCACTGGGTCGAGATCAACGCAGATGAAACCAATGAAGGATAGTGAAGGAAACCTAGTTACCAAAGAGGAGAAACGAAGAAAAAAAAATGGGCTGATCACTTCAAAAAACTCTTGAATCGACCACCACCTGCAACTCGTCCAGAAATACCGACAGCGGCACAGCCACAGAACTATCAGTGAATGCAAACCCTCCGACGAAAGCAGAAGTGAAGTCCTGAACGTCATAAAGTTACTGAAACCCGGGAAAAAAGCAGGACCAGGTGAAATTCCTCCAGAAGCACTGAAAACAGACGCAGAGACAACAGCGGATATGCTCACACAACTATTGCAGAAGGTTTGGGAGGAAGGAAAGATACCTGCCGAGTGGAAGAACGGCTGCCTTGTCAAACTTCCAAAGGAGGAGGATCTAAGTCTTTGCAAGGACTGGGGCAGAATCATGCTGCTGTCCACTGGAAACAAAATATTAAGCCGCATCATCCTGGAGAGACTAAAGGATGCGCGATCACTCCCGAGTCGGAATCCCGGTGGGAACAACATCACTCACTGGGAAGCAGGTACATCCAGCTGACCAGTGAGTCCCAAATAGGACGAAATGCGCATCCTGGATTCCACTGCTAGCCACGATCCATCATTAACAACCATTGAAGGTTAACAATATGGTGTAAGGTATTATGACTTTATTTGGTAATATTTGGCTTTACTGATTCACCCAATTGTGATGCTGAACTTGCTTGTAAATAATATCGGATATACTTACCGTATCTCAAGAGCTCAATTAACTCACACGAATGTGTCAGGTAATTTAGCTCTTCTAACCTTCTTAAAATTTATCAACAGATGTAGAATCGGTACAACATTAACACAGACTAATCAGTATTCTATCCTTTTAAAAAAGTGTAGATCATATTGTCATGTAGGAGTGGATTGAAATAGCCTAATCTTTAAGAAAAGGTCCAAATTAGCTGTTGTTAACAGGACATACTACACAACCAAGATCATCTTAGTGGAAAAGACAAAGCCTATGCTTCAACACACAGCGTAATCAGCATTTGAACGAGTGTATTATATCCTACTGTGTATATCAATCTACATGTATGTTTGAACATATACATAGGAGGAGCAATTATGACATACAGTTAAGAATGGTTGAACATCTGCTTAGAATACCTCCATCGATAACAAAATGTATACTAGGAGCTAGTCATCAGATCAATACGAAGGCATCATTCACTTTCCAGTATAGATATAGTCAAGGATGAATACTTAGATTTATCGAAGTACTTGCTATGTATTCAGAAACCACCATTATGTACTTACAATAAACCTACTCTGTTAATATTAAGTTCAACTCTTTATATTATTGGTAGCGGTAATTTCTTACTTTATAAGTCCATTGGCTTAATTAATTTCGCCGATGACTTGTGTCTAATGTCGCACAAACTTGAAGATCTACAGGCGAAAACTAACAAGTTGACAGAAGAGGCAGCGAAGACAGGACTTCAAGTGAATATAAAGAAGACAGAGGTGATGAAGATACCCAACCATTGCCACCACCAACAACAGCAACAACAAGCTCCAATCACCATGAACGAGAGAAACTTAAAGGAAGTAACCTCCTCCACCTATCTGGGCAGCATCGTTTCAACTACGGGTGGCGGCACAGACGAAGACGTCAAAGACAGAATCAGAAAAGCAAGACAGGCCTTCATTAAGCTGAAACCAGTGTGGAGATCTTCTGCACTCCACTCAGCATGTGGAACAAGATGCGGATTTTCAACACTAATGTCAGTGAAGTCAGTGCTTCTACCTGATGGTTGAGAGACTTGGAGTGTGACGAAAATCATTTCCAACAAACTACAGAGATTCATCAACAACTGCCGCCTACACTCGTTAGTGAAGATGAGATGGCCAGGAGGAATAAGGAACTCTGGCTGGCTGGCTGGCAACGAAGCAATCAAGAAGCTTTCACTCAACAAATATGCAGAAGGAAGTGGAGATGGATTGGGCATACACTGAGGAGGCCAACTGGGGACATCACGTGCCAGGCCAGTCACTGGAGTGGGACCCAGATGGGAAACAGGAGTTGGGCATCCGAGGTGAGGGTGAGGGTGGTATGGAGGAGATGGTGTGAAGAAGAAATGAGAGGTTGTGGGCAGTGTTGGAGCCAGGTTCAAAAGATTTGAAAAAAACAGAGTGGAATGGAGACATACTACTGAAGCCCTATGTTCCATTAGGAACCCAAAGGATAAATAAAAAAAATGAAATAATAATTGGCTTAATTAACCTTAGTAAGTTTTAGAGTTAGTATTCATTACGCGCTAACATCAGTTGGGGAATCATTGAAAATTCGGGAGCACTGAACAGCTGTTTCGTCCTAGTATGTAACTCTTCAGCTGTACACACACGACTCAGTTAACGATGGAACTCAGAATCTGAAGGTTTCATGACAAATGCTGTGTTCGTGTATAATCAGAATTGTTAAAAATGTATGGCGTTAATACATCACTTATGTTTGAAATCATCTTAATCTTCTTATTATGTTGTTCAAATTTATCAAGGGGGGGGGCTAATTGTTTCAACAAAATCTTTAAGCTTATTGACCAGCTGTATATTTTATCTCTGTCAAAATAGTATGACTGATAATTCGTATTGAAGATACGATTGTTAGAACATAAAGCTTCATATATCTGGCCACTTTTACTTTCGTGTGATAGAGATGTACCTGATTGGCGTAGGCGTTTCAATTTCCAAGCCATATGTTCTACATTCAAATCTCATACCATCTACTTCGCACCTCAAAAAACTGAGTATATAAGTATGTTCCTAAAGTGTTCTATTGACATAGGGGCATATGTTTAGTGTATACTAGTATTTTGCTATGACATCGTCTTAACTTAATAGTTCAGTTTATCTTCAGTCTATGACTTTACATGAGCAATAGTTACAATAGAGATGATCTTTTTCATTATTTAATAATTTTTTCGTTGACGTTGGTTATCGAACACGAGATGACTAGCGAAAAGTTAATTACGGGGTTGCCGAATACACACACACACACACATTCTTGGGATCAATGAAATGCTAGTAGGTGTCATCTTTCTTTCTGTTCACATTCCGTGACAAGTTCAACTGTTATTTGACTATCTGAGATAGCTGTATTTTGGGTGGTAATTAAAGGTGGAATGTAAATTCTAACCGCTGCTGGACTCAAACCAGCGGCCACTGGGTTCCCAACCGGGTGCTCTACCAACTGAGCTACAAGGACCTCGTAGCTCAGCTACGAAAATTTTGACCGCGGCAGGACCTCGTAGCTCAGTTGGTTGAGCACCAAGGTGAAAGATGTGTAACGAATTCTGTTTTTTAACGAAGGTCACTGGAATGATCTCAACAATCCACGTGAAAACTTTACCAGAAGGCAGGTTTATGAGATGTTGTATTATTTCGAAACCATATACCATTTATATTTAGTTTTTGATTTTGTTTTTTTCCCTAATTTATAGTACCTGGAGCCAAGGTATGGAGTGTTTAAAGATCTTGAGACGGATGTAATCGTGGGTGAACACACAGGTAAGCCAATGTGAATGTGAATCTGTATAATGAATAAGTTTGTATAGTTTTCAGTTGTATTGATAAGAAGCTTGTTTGTTTATATTGAAATGTGATTATCTCATACCTTCTGCTGAGCGAGTAGTTCCTTCGTTACCAAGAATTTATATGTTGTTGCTTGTATTATCGTGATGTTGATAAGACTGAATTGACCGGTCTCTGTTGGCATATGGGCTGCTACGGGGATGCCTCGATATTGCCTATCATTTCACTGCTAGCCACTACCACAAAATTGAAACGATAAGCAGTATTGAGGCATGCGTGAAGGAATCTATATACCAGTAAAGACTGATCACTTCAGTTCAATCAAAGTCACGGTAATACAAGCAACAATACTAAAACTATGCTCGTTGCACAAGATTGAAGTGGTTCAGCGTATTAATCACTGCACTTACATGGGAAATCGCATCAGCCTTCCTGGGTCAAGTTAAATATGAAGGTCTTAATTGATGTTCGCTGACTTAAGCCACTGATGGCGCCGGCTCGGATATCTGGTTGTCTATTAATGGTCAAGTGTATTGTGCTGCAGTTTTGCTTCGTTCTACTGTTTGCCTGTGAAACATGGCCATCAAAGGTAGAGGATATGAAAAATTTTCAGGTTTTTAACCACCGTCGCTTTCGTAAAGTAAGCCGCGTTTCGTAGGGCCTCTACCTCAATAGCTTAGAAGTCAGGTTCAAAGTTGTAGGCAGATGAGGTGAGTTAGCTGATAAGTTTGTAAACTCCTTCGTCGAATTCTGTGAATAGCTATTTCTCTGCTTCTTCAAATCGATTCTAGGACAAGTGAACAGTATGGAGGCCGTTAAGACAACATGTCCAGTACATATTGGAGCCGCCGATACCAGTGTTTCAAGATGATCTTACTCAATAAATGGCGATCTTCATCATGCCCAGGCATACGTTGCCTCACCTTAGCGTTACTCACATGATGTTCCCATTGGATGCTAATAATCTTACAGGGACAACAGTAATAAAAAACATGGGGTCGTTGTACAACCACACAGAACATCCAGCAGAACTTCCTGCACTGATGCCCTATACACTCAACACCTACAAACAGGTAAACACCATGACTGTGCCAAAGCTGATCAAGATTGGCGTATGCCACCCTGATGGACGGTTGGGAAACTCAGTCACATTTCCATCATCACTCAAAACCGCCCAGAAGCACAAATGTTTGAGCGACTACTACTAACAACTGATCGTTCGTGTATCTGGGTAGTTGTGTGAGTGCTGGCGGAGGTGTAAGTGATGAAATTTCTAACCGCATATCCAAAACTAGAGTAGCATACACCAGTCTGACCCAACTTCGATGCCGTCGCGACGTGAGAAACTGGGTCTACAACGCTTCACTGCGCCTGTGAAACCTGACCTCTCCGAGTTCAGAATGTTTGACTACCCTGTGCTCGATCATCATTGTCTTCGTAGAATTGCTGGTATCCGGTAGCAACACTATGTAGGTAATTCTGAAGTACAGCACCGTGTGTTTGAGCATGATGGAGATCGTCACTCAATAAGTGAAGTCATCTGGAAACACTGGTTTTGGTGGTTTGGATATGTATTACGCATGTCGTCCGAACAGCTTCCATACCGATAAAACGAAGCATATACGGGTACTGATAGCTAACTGATTGAGTGTTATTCGAATAACCTTCTGTAAGTGTGATATATATATATATATATATATATATATATATATATATATATATATATATATAATGAGCAAACGTATTGTTGCTTTTTCAACCGTTTCATATCATCATCATTATCATTATCAACATAGGACCAGGCATTACTGCGTAACGGTTCGAGTTGCCACACTTCATATCAGCACATCAAGTAAAAAGGTAGTGAGGCGAAGGATGAAGATAAGTGAATGAAGTCAAAAGAAATATAAAGTACGAGAAGAAAGGAAAGAGGAGTGACAAAATGGTGAGATTCGGTATAGCGTTGTTAAGATGAGGATAATGTGTGTATACATCTGCTCCACTGACATCGGTTCTGAGCCATATCACCTAGGGTCTCCAACCACTGGTTCCTCTTGTCCCGTGGACCCCAACCACCTAGTCTGCATCGTCCTACATGGCTTAAACCAACAGTGAGAGACTTCATACATTGGTGCCATGTTTTAGTGTGGTCACGTTGGGCGTTTTTCCAGCCTGGACCCACCTGAGTCAACATTGTGTGACGAGGCGATCGGTGACCAGGCATACGTAGTACGTGTCCCAACCAGCTATCTCAGTCGATGAAGGTTCACAACCTCGTCAACTGACTTACCTCTTCTCCCCAAAACTGTACACCTGACTTCTGCATTACTCACATGGTGACACCACGGAATACGTCCTATATTACGAAGGCAGGCAACGGTGGTCAAATACCTGTAACCTTCTCATGTCTTCCACTTTCAATGGCCATGTTTCACAGCCATAGAATAGAACAGAGCGGACTGTTGTGCAGTACACGCGACCCTTAATAGACAAACGAATATCACGGCGGCGCCATAGGTGGCGCAAATTGGTAAAAGCCAATCGAGCCTTTTGTATCCGTGCAGAAATCTCATCGGCAACTAACCCACCGGGGTTGATCTTACTTCCCAGGTTAGTGAAGTGGTCAACACACTCAACCACTTCACTCTCTATTGTTAGCCGAAACCGTTTCATATAAACCCAAATAAAGCTATATTGAAAACCGTTTACACTCTACCAACCAAACTCGATCAAAAGTATTTCACAAAGTTTCCATAGAAATTCATAACGGTGCAATACTCTTTAACATACCTTCAATACGTGGAATGTCTTAGTACACTTTTCTTCATTGTTTTTTTTTTCGCCATTTCATATGTACCTTAACTATCGTAGACACAAAATTACAAGGAAGTTTGGTGTAGAAATGTCTCGTGTGCTACACACATACAAACACTTCAAAGTAGTATACAAACAAAAAAGAATATGGAAAAGAATAACTATAAACTAGACGTAAGTGATTGAGGGGGAACAAAGCAACAAGACGTATATAAGCGAACAATATTGTTTTCTATTAGATCCTCTTCAGGCTATATATACTCTTGTAAAAATAGCTTAATGTTTTATATATAAAATTGAATCAATCATGTAGATTTGTCGGTTGATGTGATAAATGTTTTAAAACAACGATACTGATTATAATGCAAATAATAAAAGTAATGATAGAAGTGATAGTTGAACTTTGAGGCAGTTGTGGAGATTCGGAAACATTTCAAGTTGTTATCCATCGTAGACTGACATCAGTTGGAGGAATAAAGGAAGCTTACGAGCATTGGACAGCTGTTTCGTCCCACTAGTATGGGACTCCTCAGCAGTGCGCACCCACGACCTCGCCAGGGATCGAACCCGCGACCTTCAAGTTCGGTGGCCAGCATGTTACCATTGAGCTAGCTACTGGGTCAGAATCCAATGGTCAATATTTCCAACTTCTGTTAGCTCACGATATAGCACAACCGCCACCCATTGTCACCGTTGACCACGGAACCTGAAGGTCATAGGTGCGCACTGCTGAGGAGTCCCGTACTAGGACGAAACAGCTGTCCAATTCTCCCAGGTTGCCTTCATTCCCCTAACTGATGTCGGTCTACGATGAATAACAACTTGAAGAGTGATAATGTTGACTAAAGCATATGGAATATAAGTAATGAAATTGATGATGGTAAGAACCAAGAAAGCAGCATGAAAATGTAGACACTCCAGCAATCATCAAAATGAGTCAAAAGCATAGGAAAATAAAAGTTACGTAATATTGGTGAATGAGGTAAGTGGATAAACAAAGCCTAGAACAAATACAGTAAGTGTATGAAAGGAGTGAAAAATAAGAAAAGGGGTAAGGAAAACGACTGAATGACAAAGTTATTAATTAAGTGATCCCTGGCCAAGGAAGAAATAACCGATGTACAAATTTTTCTCGACACGAAGATTAAGTTTATTAGTTCGAAATCCCACAGCTTCTATCATGTGTAAAAGACGAGTTTGAAGTCCTAGGGTGAAATTTTTTGTTAGTTGTTGTCTATAAGCGCGTTTTTCAATGACTATGAAAAAATAAACCTATAATAATAATAATAATAATAATAATAATAATCCACTTTTATTCCGAACAATTTGTGGTACAGTTTGGGATTCTCAACATGATATATTACAACAACAACAAAATATGTGTATAGTTTATACTCCTTTACAACATTTCGAATCGTTTTATTCTAAAAATTTAAGTACTATACATAATTAAAACACAGGCAATATCAAGGCATCCTCACAGGAGCCTGTATGCCAACAGATTGATCAATTCGGTTCAATCAACGATGGTATAATACAAACAATAACACTGAAACTATACCCGTTGCACAAGAGGTAGCTATCGTGGCTCGGTGGTGTAGTGGATAACGCTTTGGCGTTTGAAGCGATTCTTTTTCGAGTTTGAATCCTGGTGGGAACAACATCACTCACAGGGAGGCAGAGGTACATGCAGTTGAGGAGTCCCAAGTAGGACGAAATGCGCATCCTGGATTCCACTATTAGCCATTACCCATCATTACTATTTATCACATCAACCGACAAATATATATATATAGCTATTTGTATTAGAGTAAAGCTTGAAGTTGATCTAATTGAAAATACTTCTTAATCTATTCGTATGCGTATTATAAGGATGATAAACATTGTAAATATCTAGACAAGTTCATTATTTACTCTATTTCGCGTGTCTTTTAATCATTATACAAGACATTGAATGAAATCAGTATCGGATTTATATATTTTTTATTATTATTATTATTATTATTATTAGTCCCTTGGGTTCCTAATGGAACATAGGGCTTCTCTAGCACGCCTCCAGTGACCTCTGTTCTCTGAGATCTTTTGAACCTGGTCCCACGACAGCCCACAACCTCTCATTTCCTCCTCGCACGACCTCCTCCATGTCACCCTTGGACGTCCAACTCATCGCTTCCCATGGGGATTCCACTCGAGGGCCTGACGCGTGATGTCCTCAGTCTGCCTCCTCAGTGCATGGCCAATCCATCTCCACTTCTTCCTGCATATTTGTTGCGTGATAGGTTCTTGGTTGGTTCGTTCCCAGAGTTCCTTGTTGCTTATTCTTTCTGGCCATCTGATCTTCAGTAGCGAGCGGAAAAATATATATATATATATACATATATATTTTAAGCTTGTATTATTTATTATTCTTCTACTAAATGATGAATGAACTTTTAACTTCCGTACATACTATATGTAGTTTTTAAAACTGAATTTTAGAGAATCCTTACAATTCTGATTGATAATAAAAGCAGAAAAATCTGTAAAAAATATTAAAAATTAAAGTGTTTACTTTATATTCGTTAACTAAGAAATTATATTATTTATTGTTACTTACTATAATGAAGATATATGCAGCTGATGAGACTTAAATAGGACGAAATGCGCATCCTGGATTCTACTACTAACCACCAAATAGACTATGTCTGAAAAAGTAACTATCAATACTCTTTTCAAATATACTAACAGTTTAGTACTGTATGAATTTAAAAGGTTTCATCGAAAACTTTTTTTTATGAAGTTAATACTGAAATAATCTCTAAACCTGTTGATGAAATATCAGAGCTCGAAGAAAATTAAATCTTCATCTTTTCCATTCTAAGCTACAAATCTTGCCTATTGTTGCTTTCAGGTATACATCATTTTACTCTTGGTCAAAGGGCTCCTATCAAACGATTCACTGGACCATATTATGTCGCTCGAATGGACTATCGAAATCAAGTGATATATGTGGTAGGTAGAATTCTTCTTCTCATTTTTTGTTGGTTTACAATGTTTAACAAGAATAAATAAGTAATAAAACCGCACAGCTATATGTGTATTAACTCTACTAGTCCTGTTAGATAAAGGTGCTGACAAGATACAGAGTCTGCTGAACACTTTGAGTGTGCCATTTGAGAATGTTTGCGATGAATTTCTCATCACTCATATGCAATTTGTTGTTCAAGGATTCGTCTTCAACTACGCCACGGCTAACAATAAAGAGTGTACTGGTTGACCGCCTCACTTACCTGGGAACTGAAGTTGGATCTTTCCTGGTGGGTTGATCACTGTCCGATGAAATCTCTACAAGAATACAAAGTTCTCGCCTGGCTTTTGCCAACTTACGTCACTCATGGCGCCTCCGTGATATCCGATTGTCTAGTAAGCGTCGCGTGTACTGCAGCTGCATAGCAGTCCACTCTGTTCAACTCGATGGCTATGAAACATGCCCATTGAAGGTGGAAGATATGAGAAGGCTTCAGATGTTTGACCACCGTTGCCTTCGTACTATAGGCCGTATTCCATGGTGTCACCATATGAGTAATGCAGAAGTCAGGTGTAGAGTTTCAAGGAGTAGAGTTAAATCAGTTAACATTGCTGTGAACCTTCATCGACTGAGATGGATGGTTGGGACATGTGTTACGTATGCGTAGTCACCGATAAGTATATAATCATTTTCGTCTTTTGTTGAAATAGTAAAGGTTCTCAACAAAATCTGTCTTTTTTTCTCTCTTTTTTACGTTCATAGTAAACGAGACGGTATTATCGTCAAAAACATTATCCTAACCACTGAGTAACAGCTTTCTATCTCTACGGTCGCATGTCACCAGCACAAAATGTATACTATTTAAGTTCAAGTTCACCATCAATTGATGAACTTGGAAGCACGGGAAAGGTGTTCTATCCCCCTATGGAACTGTGACTCATTGATGATTTAGAGAGATAACTTTCAACCAATAGGTCATGGATTCGAACATCGCTCCACCTACCGAGGTTTTGGGCAGACAAATAATATCACCAACCGTCACACAATACGTGTGCCTTATTGGCTATTGCACAAATATGTTCACAAAATGGCTGAGAGCATTTCGATTTTGAATGGTAGGGACTCCTGAGTAGTGTGACTTTATCACCTCGACAGGGATGTCAGTACATGTTGAATACTACTTCGAAGTTAGCTAACCCTTACAAACCTTCAAAGTGAATTATTATTATTATCATCATTATTTAAGTATTTCAAGTTGTTATTCATCGTAGACTGACATCAGTTGGAGAAACAAAGGAAGCCGGGGAGCACTGGACAGCTGTTTCGTCCCACTAGTATGAGACTCCTCAGCAGTGCGCACCCACGACCCCACCAGAGATCGAACCCGCCACCTTCAGGTTCGGTGGCCAGCATGTTACCACTGGGTCAGAATCCAATGATCCATATTTCCATTTTCTGTTAGTGTCAAAGGTATGAAATTCTTGGTTGTGTGTTTAGTGAAACTACTTTAAGCAGTTAAGTTCAATGAGAAGAAATCACTGTGTTGTTCTTTGATTGACAAAAACTTTATCGGAATCAAGTTAATTATCAGTGAATACAAACCGAATCTCAATTATATTCCATTTGTTATCTTTTTATAGGTGGATGGATGCTTAATCTTGTAAATGAATTAGGTGTCCACTGTATATTATCTTATTATTTTCATTGTAGTAGTAATTGTCACCTCACTTTTCTCCATGATTTGAATACTATGATCATTAATCGTGTGTGTGTGCGTTCACTGTTTCTATCATCTTAGGCTCGAGATGCAAGTCATCCAAGCTTATTTATGCGCAAGTGTTGGTGTGGTCCAGCAGTATGGATTAACTCTGAACCATTCTCTTGTATTAACTCAAAAATTATTCATTTTCAATGGCAAAATAAATGGCGTCCAATTAATTGTATCTTAACACCATTCAATGATATACCTACAGCAGCAGATTATATTAAAAAGAATATACAACGAGGTTATTTTTCATCAGACAATGCTGAATTAGTCAATACCATTGATGCATCGATTGAAGGTAATAACAGAAAAGTTGGACCATGTCTTAGTATTGAATTGGAAGAGCCATTGCGTTGTATTTCACCAGGACAATGGTGTGCATTATATGATGGAGATATTTGTTTAGGTGCAGCAATGATATGTGGTTCAATTAGTTTATGGGAAGAAGGACAAAATGCATTTTATAAATGGAATAATAGTGATTATGAATTAACATATAGTTAAATTGTATTGATTTGTATTATGAAATTTGTATATAAATCTGATCATTCATACTGATTATTCGCCGAATAGATGGTTTAGATTAGGTACACAGCGACCAACATAACTCAAATGTTACGTAGTAGTAAGTGATGAACTTAAAAAGGTTCCATGGCTTGAGAGAAACTTAAAACTCGTCTACCTAAGCGTAAAAAACAAAGACTCCACAATTTTTAAACTTAAAGTTGAAGAATGCTACACTTCTTGTTTCCCAAACTTGATTTTATTCGAACATTAATGAAGAGTTTTGTTAATATGTAGGGAACGCTCATGTTACTATGCGGTAGATAAAAACTACAAGCTGAATCCCCACCTAAGTTATACCAGTTCGACAAATCAAAGTGGAACTGACACAAAAGTCAAAGTTACCACACTTCACAGCATCATGCAGGGAGCAAAATGGTTAGAAGAAGAATGAAATTGAATTAAACTGTCGAATTTGATACGAGGTGTGAGGAGAAAAAGAAAATTAATAGAAAAGTCCAAACTTTTGAAGATAACAAAGTATGTGTCTGCTTCACTGTAAGAGACTTTTGAGCAGTTTCTCATTCTCCAACGATTGATTCCTACAATTTCGAGAATCCCAACCATACAGTTCAAACGACTCAAACCAACAATCGAAGACTCCAAGGGCTGGTGCTACTCCTTGGTTTGACCAACTTTAGCCTTTTTCCAACCCAGTCTTACTTCAGCTAACGTATATCGAGATAACCAATGGCTTGGCATGCATGAGCCGTCTTTCGTGTCGAGTACCCTTCGCCTAACCTCCACCTTTTCTACACTTCAGTAGTCCCGCGAAGACAGGTGTGATCAAGAACCTATAACCTATTCGTATCTTCTAGTTTCAACGGTCATGTCTCGTAGATCTACAACAGAACAGAGCGGAATGGTACATAGTACACTCCTCTTTGAATAAGTAGTCAGTTATCACACCGGAGCCAATTAACCGTTGTTTATCGAAGCTAACATTCGGCTAGTAACCAATAATTCAGGGTTGATGTAACTTTGTAAGTGAATTTAGCAGTGAACGCATTCCACCACTTTACTCCGTATCTTTAAAATAGAAGTCGATGGATTGCTGTTCATACCATCTTCCACAATTATAAAACATGTCTGAATCAGCATAATTTCTTTCTTAATTCTCAGTTGTTTGACCACCGTTGTGGTGTCACCACATAAGTAACGCAGAAGTCAGGTGTAGACTTTCAGGGAGTAGAGTTAAATCAGTTAACAATGCTGTGAACTTTCATCGACTGACATGAATGGTTGGATGGATGCGTTATGTATGCCTAGTCGCCATCTGCCTCGTCACACAATGTTGGCCGAAGTCGGTTCGGATTGAAAAAAGGCTCTTGGCTCTCAACTAGATTAAAGCATGGCATCAATGTATGAAGTCTCTGACTGTTGGTCTCAGCCATGTGAGGCGATGCAGACTGGGTGGATGGGGTTGGTAGGACAAGATAAACCAGTGGTTGGAGACTGACTGTAAGTGATTACATTGCTGATAACTGATGTCAGTGGCGCAGATGTATACACACGCACACACATTATCCTCATCTTAACGACACTATACTGAATCTCACCATTTTCTCATTCTTCCTTTCTCTCTTTGAGTACTTTATATTTCTCTGGACTGAATTTTATCTTCATCTTGCGCCTCTCTGGCTTGTTACTTGATGTAGTGATATGAGATGAGGTGTGGCAACTCGAACCGTTACTCTGTAATGCCTAGTCCTATGTTGATTTAGTTGAATGGAAATAGCATATTGTCCACACTTATCGTGACTAAAGTGAACACAAAGCGAATTTCTAATTCATTCATGAATAAGAACAGGACATGTAACAGCTAAGAAGAAATATTTTTTTCTAACAACTTCATTATCAAACTGTACAATTGTATTGATAATCGATAAAATGATGGATAATTGCACTAAATTGTTGCTCAGTCTATATGTAAAATATACAATAGGTGTAGGTGTTAGTATTTGTTCAAGTGGAAGAAATAGGAAATGCGTCACTGAATAAAGAGGGACGAATTGATAACAAGTGATGAGAAAGAGGAAATGTGCTGTCAAACAAGGTTAAAACGATGGCAATTCAATTGAAACATGTAAAATAGGTCAATGAATTGAAATTCACTAGTGAAATATGCGTCAAATGTTACCAATGAAGTGAAAATTGGTGATAATGATGATGATAATAAAAGGAAATTGACAAAATCAACAAAGTGAATTGTTATGACCAAGGTAGAGAAAGTGGTTACTCAAAACATTCTTGAATGCTTCAGTTTCGGTTTTTGTTCATGTATAGCTACTGTTTCAGCACCATACATTATTATTTGTCCCTTGGGTTCCTAGTGGAACATTGGGCTTCAGTAGCACGTCTCACTTCCACTCCCCTCTCTGCAAACTTTCGAACCTGTCTCCACGACAGTCCAGAAGCTCTCGTTTCTTCCTCACATGATCTCCTCCATGTCACCCTCGCCTCGGACGCCCAACTCGTCGCTTCCCATCTGGGCTCCACTCGAGTGACTGGCTTGGAGCGTGATGTCCCCAGTCGGCCTTCTCATTGTATGCTCAATCTATCTCCACTTCCTTCTGCATATTTGTTGAGCGATAGATTCTTGGTTGGTTTGTTGCCAGAGTTCCTTGTTGTTTATTCTTTCTGGCCATCTGATCTTCAATAACGAGCGTAAGCTTCATACATAAGTGGTGGAAATGTAGACTTTTGAAGTAGTTCAACTTAACGTTGTAAATTACCTTAACAGATGAATCTCTAGGTGTTGAATGACCTAACCCTTCTAGGTGTTCACATATAGATGAAGTCGTTTTTTTCTCCACTCATCTTTGATGAACCAAACCGGGTAGTGTTTAGCAATACATTTTCAGAGGACTGGCTTATAAGTCGTTGAAAAGAAATATTTCCTCGCTGATACATGGTCTTATTGTTATTCATTCATATTCCTTTTCTCATACTCATTCACATCCACTTACATATACACACCATTCGCATAATCTACCTTAAACTCACCGACTAATAACTATTGATGGTAATATGTGATCACATTTTCTCATGTGTATTTTGTGCATACAGAAACAAAATAATCTTTGTTTCTATTCACTATTTAAACACATACGATATCCTGTTCAGATTTCCTTTTTCTGAAAAAGCGTCTTCTACGAGGTTGAGAAAAACATCGGGAGCTTACTTTACTACTTTAGTGGAATATACTTTATTTGCTTATCAACCATTTTACCCACTCCCCAACATATCATGAACACAAACCACGCTATCTCAAGAACCTCCTCATCCAGTCATCTATAAAATGAAAAGAAACTTTCCAAAGGCTGTATATCTTCGTATTCTTTGCATCGTCGAACCTCTTTCCCATTTATATAGAGAAATCTGTCTGATCTGTGTATGCAAGAGAAGATTGGGCTAAACCCTTCTTCTTTCATGATCTTAGTGTTCACTTTCCTGTAACCTCGTTTTTTTCCTTTTTCATCCTTCTGTTTTAATACTATTCACTTTTGAAGTAATTTGCTACTTATCCTTGTTGCTATACTCTACCTGATCACTATTCAGTTTCCAGTTGCGTCATCATGTTACGAAACTTCTAGTTCGAACTTATTTTGATCAATATTCACTACTTATCAGTTTTTAGTTTTGTAATTTTAATGACAGTTCACATGATTAACACTATTTGTGTTGCCTGCCATGCTTGACAAACTATCAAATCTCTACACTGGGAAAAAAATGTATGAATTTGTGAGTGTGTACAGCTTTGAAAATTAAAACCGCCGAAAAGAGACTGTTCTTTGAAATATACTGGTGTTTCTTTATTCAATTCTATCAAGTTTTGACCCTGATGTCGACAAAATTAATCTGTGGAGTTGTATACACGAATCGGGGAAACGAAATAACTCCAGTTGCCTTGTCGAGCTCTGAAATCTGACTCCAAATTTTATATACGTGTCCAGGTACACTATCGCCTATTTATAATTCCCGACACTGCTGATCCACCTGCGTCAGACAGCGTAAATATCAGGAGTTAACGCGAAGTATACATCAGGATGTTGTATTAGTCAACGAGCGAGCAAAAAGTCTTTTTCAGTACAACTAAACAAAAAATGTTCAATGAGTTGTTACATACATCAACACAATACAGTGAAATAAAATGCTACAGCCTAAAGCCTTCGGGAAACCAATCGGCCGATGTGTCTTCTGTCGATGAAAGCGAAAGTAAACGTGGAAACATGGAATGTCTGCACCATGTATGAACCTAGAAGATTTGGATTTCGCCGATGATGATTTATGTCTAATCTTTTTTTTGTGGCTGCCTGCTTGATTTCTGGGCTACCGTCTTTTATCACCGAGTATATTGCATCAAATTCCTCATTTCTATTTTGTTTCAATCGTTTAATTATATCAACCGATCGTATTGTATACTGTCGCACGTTTTTAAAATCATTACAACCTATCGCTTCGCAAGTTGATAGGAAATTTAAGAAGAAGCACCACGGTGGATGGCAACGAGCTCTGAAGCGTATGACCATAGATCAAATGACTATTCCGGAAATACTTAGCACAAACTGCAGGTCGTTGCCGAATAAAGTTGATTACCTTCAGTCACTCTTGTCCACAAATGTTTATCGAAACACGGGTGTAATAATGCTGCAGGAAACATGGCTTCATAATCTGTATGATGATGACTTAGTCTGCTTAGATGGTTTCAAATTATTTCGACAAGATCGAAGCTTTTCGAAGAAGAAATGTGGTGGTGGTGTAGCAACATTTATTAGTACTAACTGGTCGTCCTCCAACTATGTATGCTTCTGCTAACGAAAAAATTGAGTGCATTACCATCAAATGTCGTCCCAAACATTTGAGCAAATACAAATACATATATATCACAAACATGTATGTCACACCTGACTGCAGTTTCTCAGATTTGTCAACTTTTGCTGATAAATTCACTGAATTTGCTGCTCCGGTTCTGGGAAACTCCTTGT